GTAGAAAAACCCAGCCAGGCGATAACGTGTAATGACACTTTCCCTCTTTGGGAAATCTCCTGACTAGCGCTGCATGGAAGGCGGTGAGAGGAATTGCGTAGTGGTACCGGATGGTACAGAATGGTAACTTCAGTGCCAGGGCAACTGAGGTCTTTTGACGCCAGCATGGCCTGAGACAGGTGTTCTGGTATTGTCACGGCCTTCTCGGCCCAATGAGCCCATGAGCCATCAGCCATCATCCCCGCTTCCGCAATGCCCGCACCAACACCGGAGTTAACATGAGATGACAATAGCCTTTTGGTCGCTCCTTATCAGACATTTCCTATTTTATTAGCCTCAGCGACTTGTGACACCTTACTGGCTGCATCAAACCGCCAAGGGACGTCAGCACGTGGGGGATTGTGGCTTCTCTTTCGCGAACGGTCAAACGTGGCCACCTAGTACACGCTTCACCCAGGTTTGGCTTTCTGACACAGTGTCTTATGCGCCGGGATACATCAGAGCCCTCTAAAAGATGGCAACTGCGGACGTTGCTCCTCATTTCGGAGCGGAGCTAAAGGTAAGATTTACCATCGACGCACTTGAGAACGGCTACCTAATACTTGCTGTTGATATAGGACGCATTTAAACCAGTGAACAATTGGGTACGTACCGAAGTCGCTTCCCCGCATTTTGTCCGCAAGACCAAGAACAACGGTGTTAAATGTCACTCATAGGTGTCGAATGGGATACAATGGCTCGACGAGATACAACAGTTTTATCGCGAGCGGAGCGCGATCGAGAAGGAATACGCCGCCAAGCTCACTACCCTTTGTCGGAAATACTACGATCGCAAGGCGAAGAAAATCAGCAGCCTTAGCGTTGGAGACAATCCTACGATGACTCCGGGCTCCCTTGAAAGCGCTTCTCTTACCACCTGGACGACGCAATTGACCACTGTCGAATCGCATGCCGCGGAACGGGACAAATTCGCCTCGGAGTTGGTCGCGCAAGTGGCGGAGCCTCTCAAGCAAGCAGCGGCGCAGTACGAAGAACTTAGGAAATGTCATGTGGACTTCCATGCGAAGCTGGAGAAGGAGAGAGACTCATCGTACAGCGAGTTGAAGAAGGCCAAGGGGAAATATGATGGGGCATGCCAGGAGGTCGAGGCGCGCAGAAAGAAGATGGAAAGTTCGTTTGACCACGGAAAGTCGAAGGCGCAAGCTGCCTATCAGCAGCAGATTTTGGAAATGAACAATATCAAGGTAAGGCTGTCGTCCTTTTCAATCCCAGGCTGACCAGTCTTGCTAATGTTGTCGAAGAACATGTACCTCATCAGCATAAATGTGACCAACAAGATGAAGGAGAAATATTTCCATGAATATGTGCCAGAGCTTCTTGATGTGAGTAGCAGACTCAGGTTACGGACGGGTGGAATACTTACTATGTACAGGGATTGCAAGACCTGAATGAGACCCGGGTGACAAAACTCAACTCGGTATGGTCACTCGCAGCTCAGTTGGAGAAAGCTTCTCTCTCTAAGAGTATGGACCAGATGTCACATCTACTGAACGAGATTCCTCGAAACGTACCGCACCTTGACTCACTGATGTTTCTTCGTCATAACGTCACCCAAGTGCAGGAACCTCCCAACATGGTCTTCGAACCCAGTCCTATCTGGCATGATGACGAGTCGATGATTACAGATGAGACAGCCAAAGTGTTTCTGCGCAACCTACTCAGCAAGGGCAAGACACAAGTCCGGGACTTGCGAGTCGAGTCCGACCAGAAGCGGCGGGAAGTTGACAACGCCAAGCGTGTCCGTGAAAATGTGCGGCAAGGGAAGGACAACCGGAGCGAAGTCGAGGTTGTCCGGTCCATATTTTTCTTGCAGGAGGCGCTCCATGAAACAGACCGGAAACGACTGGCTGCAGAGGTTGAAACGTCGACCATCATGTCAGTTGTCGGCGATCTGTCTCTAGGAGCCAGGAATCACAATTTCAAGTCACAAACGTTCAAGATCCCAACCAACTGCGATCTTTGCGGGGAGCGCATTTGGGGACTGTCGGCCAAAGGCTTTGATTGTCGCGACTGCGGGTACACATGCCACAGCAAATGTCAGATGAAGGTACCCGCGGAATGTCCTGGCGAACAGACCAAGGAGGAGAAGAAGAAGCTCAAGGCGGAGAGACAAGAACAAGCCGGTGCCATGCCAGCGCTCGATATTACACCATCGAACGGAACCTCGGCCGCGCCATCACTCACTCGGCAAAATACGATGAACTCTTTGAGCTCCGGATATGCGGCGAGCGCAAACCGATCATTGTCAAATGTTACCAGCCAACCAGCCAGTGCAACAGAACCTGCTGCGCCTGCTGAGACTAAACCCGCCGTTGCCGCTCCGAAGAGAAATCGGATTCTCGCACCACCTCCGGCACAGTACGTTAGCGCTCCAGCGCCAAGTGAGCCACCATCCGCTCCCGCGAAATCAGGTGAGCCTCGTGGAAAGATGTTGTACCCATATCAAGCTGGAGGGGGGGACGAAATCACTGTGCAGGAAGGGTACGACGTGGATATTATTGAACCTGATGGTAAGTTTGCCGTTGGCATGTGGAGACTCATCCTAACTGAGGTTTTCTAGATGGCTCCGGATGGATGCGCGTTCGCGCTGGATCGCGAGAAGGCCTCGTCCCAGCCTCATACGTGGAAGTGGTACCGACAGCATCCCCTGCGCCCACGGCGAGTCCCGGATTCACGGATCGACCGGGCTCCACGTACTCGAACTCGTCTGCCTCGTTAGCTGGCAGTATGGCGCCCAAGCGGGTTGGGCCTGCAGTCGCCCCTCGACGAGGGGCAAAGAAATTGCAATACGTCGAAGCGCTGTATGACTACGAAGCGCGCAGCGATATGGAATGGAGCATGGTGGAAGGCGACCGGTTCGTGCTGGTCAACCGGGACAGCGGGGATGGATGGGCGGACGTTGAACGGGGAGGGGTCACCAAAAGTGTACCTGCGAACTATATACAGGAAGTGTAGACGTGGCATCGTGCGGTTTTAAGCTTATTGTTAGGCGGTTGGCTTCATCGTGACCATTATTTATCTATAGCTTTGCATTGGTGGCATCAGCAGCGAATGGATACCTTGAGATTGTTTACGCATCGTGTCGTCGGTACTTCTGTTCTGAACTCACCTTGGCAATTAGATCGAAATAGTATTTGGGCAGCAGTCTATTAGGACCATCGGTCTCATGATCTCCAACAATGACCAGGGGAGAACCAGCCAGCTGTCATCAAAGATTGGACCTTCCTTTCAGAGCAAGCGCAGTCGGAAATCAAAGTACTGTGCACAAGCCACGCAGAAGATACCTTAATTTCAGCCGCCGTTTCCCCTCAAAATTCTATTGGAGGCTAAAACTGCACGATGCGATCGTTCCTATTAAGGCGCTTTTCCAGAGAGCGCCGAGGAGAGTGGAAGTGTTGGCCAGTGTACTTTGTACGTAGGTCTGTTTATGCGAAGACGGGAGTTAATCCCGAAGTTGGCTACGCTGCGACATGATAGATTAATTTGTTCAAAGGTACAATTGTGTCCTTTCTCTTGACTTTCTGTATGAAATCTCCGGTCAAAAGGCATTAATGAAACCTACTATACTACGAAACTACTACGGGGCAGATAGAGTATACAACAAAACCCTACAAGGCTCGAACTATTCGTGAAAATCGCGCAGGAAATTAGTCGAGCCACGATCGTATCATCAGGGGGAAATACCTCATAGTAAATCACCCATGATGATACAAGATCAACCATGGAAATCGGCTGCAATTAGACTGCGCCACGGACCTCTATTTGGCTTGTGCTGAAGCTATTGTTTAGTGCTGTTGCCGGGTATGCAGTGCTCAGCCACCTCCATCAAGCGAGTTGATCTACACATTCATATGATTTTGATTACGAGCGGGTATGAAAGATAGGTCTGCGATTGATAATGGATTTGGAAATGATATTATCCGGTTACATCGTAGTTAGTCAATAATGTATGTCATTGTCTCGAGCAAATTGATGCTCAGTGTGTACTCTATTCGGTATACTGTACTCTGTAGATATTCTGTCTCTGTAAATGTGTGTCTCCAGCCTCATAGTGACCCGAGCGTCGCAGTCAAGCTCTAATTGTCTTGTCCTCGTCTTAATTTTTCTTCTCTGGCAGATCATGTTGTTTGTCATTAATATTATTATCATTATTGCAAGACCCTGAGGATCCATACCACCAGGCAGCAAGATTGGTTTTCTTTAGGAAGAGGGGCGGTCTGAAAAGCGAGCCTTGACTCTTGAGGAAGCGAATGTATGAGGGAATTTGCTGGACCACCAGTTTTAATCAATGCTAGGACGAATCTGGCATCTCTCTCCCTGGTATTTCCCACTTGCACTGCCAAAGGATGAACTGATATTGCCAGCTTACACCTGCTAGCATCTCCTGTCTTTCTGCTTTGCTGCTTTGGGGGATAGCTGGGAGAAACTGGAAACACCCCTATCCCTGGGTTTCATTTGCGGGAGCCGAGGGTCGAAAATCCCTCATCGCTAGTCTCGATTCATCGGTTTCCGTCTTTTGTCTAGGATATCCAACTGTGGTAGTAGTGACTCTCTATACACACCAGGATCCATCCACAGGAAATTTCCTGCTGATTCCTCAGAGGATCCTCCTTCTATGATAGCCACCAAAATGTCGAATATTTCTCCATCCGCACCAATCACATCCTCTCGGATTCAATGATATCGTAAAAATTGGTCTTCCATGACCTACCTAAGTGGGAAGTCGCTTTACCTGCAGCCACGACAGCCCGTGGCTGCAAGACAAGACGATCTCCGGACACCTGAGGCAGGCAGCTCCAGCTCCAGCTCCAGCTCTATTCCCTTTTAATCCTCCCCAACACTGCCCATGATGCATTGTCTCATCTCCTCTCCGCCAGTCCACGTATAAATTCCTCCTCCTCATCCCTCATCATGGCTTCTCTCTTTCATACCATCAAGGGATGCTCATTGACGGTGAAAAGTGGGCTTGTGAAGCTTGCGTCCGCGGCCACCGTGTGACAACCTGTAAACACAATGGTACCTATTCCTTCATCCTCTCGTCTTCCTCCTCCAATTTCAATCACACTCATAATGAATCATAGATCGACCATTGATCCGCATCGCCAGAAAGGGTCGCCCCTTTTTGACCTGCTCTGTATGCAACTGCACCCCATGCCAAGCTCCAGAGGAGCACACCAAACTCAGACGTGAGGCAGAGTCCAAGTCTCAATCTTCAAAAGTAGATGTCACCAGACAAGAGGGGGGAGAAGCACCGTCTTGATTTTGCTTTTTTCTTTGGGATTTTGTTGTTGCCCATGCATATACCTTCTCAGGCAGTCGTTCGCTGATGTGGTCCTTTCTCCGGTTCGGTTTCTCCAGAAATCATCCGGTAGACCCTCCCGTCCAAACAGCGCCCTCCAACCTATCGCGCCCCGTCCTTCGCTCGACTCTGCCACCCCGGCCGCCAGCCACGCTGCGATCCAGGCACCGCTCGCAGGTCATCCCAGCGCAGCTGGCGCCGTCCCCGCACGACCGGGGATTTCTCCGAGTCCCCGCAGCTCGACAGAGACAGACACCCGGATGGGTATGAGCCAGAGTCCCGGATACACATCCGGCGACTCGCACGCACAGCGGCATCCCCATCCTGGCGCGCGATCTACCGCCCCAGCTGCCCCTATTCCAGTCTCACTCCCAGTATTCACCACCGCGCCCCCGCCCTTGCACTTCCCGCTAACCTGCGGCTCGTTCGCAACTCCCGCTCTCGCTTCCGTCGCTGACATCCCCGTCTCGATGGCGCTGATGCACGGCGACGCGCACGGCGCCGGGTTCCTGTTCGCGGACGGCGCGGGCGGCTACGCAGGCGACGGGGTCTTCTCGCTAGACGATCTGGATGTGGGCGTGGGCGTGGGCGGAGGTGCGATGATGCAGTCTGAATGGGGGGATCAGTTCTGGCTGGGGGATGATTCTGTGTGATCTGATCTGATGGTGAGCTGATTGATGATGATGATTACGATGTGACGATTTCATTTTTCTCTTTGGTTCTGGGGGATGGGGATCGTGTTTATACTATACTAGTTTTTTGGCCGTGGGATAACAGGACCATGACTGTGACCATGAGCATGAGCGAGCGATATATTCCTAGAAATGAAAATAGATTGTGGATTGAGTGGGTTGCACTAGATGCAATATAGAAGATTCGGTATCTATTCAGCTATTATATCTAATACATCGGTTCACTGCAGTGCAGGCATACTGGTTCTTCCTCGGAGACTACGCAAATGTAGGCAAAACAGTAACGGTCGTAGTAGCAGTCACAAGAACATGCTTGGTGACAGTAACCACATCGACAGACGTCACCCACTTCGTGACGGTGGCCACACCACCACCAGCACCCTCGGCCCCGGCCGTCGTAGAAGCAGGGGCAGCTTCGGTTTCAGTTTCGGTAGCCGCCGCAGCGGAAGTCACGACTCCACCCCCGACAGGGGTTCCCTGCCCCCCAGTAGGAACAGGAACAGGGACCGCACTCCCAGTGCTGGACACGGAAGTGGGGGCAGCAATAGCGGTATTCTGGCTCGGGGCGGAAACAGCAATGCTAGAAGAGCCGGGGCTGCTACCCTGAGCAAGGATTCGGGCGACGGCGGCCTCAGCGGCGATCATGACGATGGCCTGGGTGTTGCCGGTTGGGAGGTCCGGGTGGATACTCGCGTCGACGATGTACTATCTTGTCAGTATACTGCGGTAGACTTGGTAAGGTGCGGGGGAGAAGAAAGGACCTACCAGGTTATCGGTACCGTACACCTTGGCGTCGGTATCCACGACGGAGGTGCCATTGCGGCGGCCGTCATCGGTGCCCATCTTGGCTGTGCCGACGAAGTGGTCGCCGCTGGTCACTTTGGCGATGATGTCCGCAGCGGAAGTGTGCTCCTGGACGGAGTAGGAGGCGTTCTTGAGGTCGTCGAGGAGTTCCTGCAAGAACGATGTGAGCGCCTCCTTGTCCTCGGCTGTCTGCAGCAAGGGGTCGGTTTCGATGGTTGTGGAGCCGGCGGCGTTGATGCCCAGGACGCCGGAGGAGGTGGCGCCGTGCGTGAGGTACAGTTTCATGGTGATGATGCCGTCGCCGCCGGGGCTGCAGGAGGCCTGGTAGAAGCGGGTGACACCGTCGCTGGCGACGTTCGAGGTCCAGAATTGCAGGCGGTGGCCGCCCTGGGTGAGGATGCCGGAGCCGCTGGCGTACATGCGCTGCGCGAGGGAGTTGGTGGCGGGGATGACGCTGGAGGTGTTGAAGGCTGTGAAGTTGGCGCCGGTGCTGACTTTGACGGTGAACATGGGGTGGTCTTTGAGGTTGTGGCCGACTGGGAGGTTGATCCAGTCCTTCTGCGCGGGAAGAGTGATTCCGGTGCTGCCGCTCTGGACGGTCTTGAGCTGCTTGGCGGGGCCAATGCCAGAGTTGAAGAGGATGCGAGGTGTGGACAGAGCACCGGCAGCGAGGATGACCTTGCCACCAGGACGGATCCGAATGACCTCAATACCGCCCGAGGCGTTCTGGACCTCGACACCGCTGACGTGGCCGCCAGTGCGGATCAGACGGCGGACTGTGGTCTGCAGACGCAGGGTGAAGTTGTCCTTGTTCTGGACCAAAGGGAGGTAGGAGCGTACAGGACCAGCTCGGATGCCATTGGCGACCGACCAGGACGGGTAGCTGAACGCCTTGTGCTTCTCGTTGGGCTGCTTGTGTTGATCAACGGACTTCCATCCGAGGCCGCTCAAGAAAGACGACAGCACGGTGTACATGCCCTGATCATATCGGCGACCGTCAGCAGACGGGAGCAGGCTTCCCGGGTTTCTCTCGTAGAAGCGGGCAGCGGCACTCTTGACATCTTGCCACTTCCACCCGGCAGGCCACTTGTCGTCAAAGTCCGCCTCCTGTGGGTAAATCAAGGCCATCGCATTAACAATGGTGCCGCCACCCAGAACACATCCAGCCATGCCGGGTGTGTCTTCGCACAGGTAATCCCCAACGACACCCAGGCTGGCCAGTGCCTGGTTCAGGGCCGGGATATCGACGGGCGTCAGGGTCTTGTTCCACGCAAGAGCGTCAGAGGCACCCATCTCGACTGTCGGGGCGACTCCACGCTCGATGAGCAGAACGCGCTTGTTTGCCTCAGCCAGGCGTTCCGCAGCCACGATACCCGCCGCACCACCTCCCACGACGATGTAGTCGTATGTGGAGTTCGAAACCGTCGGGGTCACGCTGGCGACAGGACTGCGACTAGGGGACGCGATGACGGACGCAGACGCGGAAGGAGTGCTAGAGGGCGATCCGCCGGTCGACTTGGCCATGGCAGCCCAGGTGGAGTACTTGGAGGACTTGGCCTGGCCGAGGAGCATCTCAAAGCTGCCGAAGCCAGCGGCATGGTATGTCAGAGCCGAAGCGGCCGAGGCAGGAGTGGTAGGGCTGGTCTTGCTGAGGGCCCAGCCAAGGAAGTACGTTTCATCGCTGGCGTCGAATGTCGCTGGTTGTCCGAGGATGCAGCCACTGCAAAGGAAAGTATAGGTGAGATGAGTGCTGTTGACAGATGTGCCCTCGGCGATCTCGGTAAGACTGGCGTCTCCGCTGTATACTTCCGGGTTGGCGTAGTTGGTTGTCTTGCGCAGACTCGAGACAACAGAGTTACCATTCGGCCAGGCCGCGATCAAAAGAGCCGAGGTCATCGAGCCACCCAGACTGACACCGCCCCATCCTTTCGAGCTGTCCAGCGGTACCACCAGTTGACCGACAAAGTCGGTCCCTACGGTCTCCGGGAGGGCTAGACCGAAGCAGAATCCGGTATCCGCATCGCACCATCTCTGAAAGTCAATCCCGGATGCCGAGTCACTGTAGGCGGAGGAATTGTAGTTTGCTGCAAAGGCGCCGAGCGTCGAGCTCAAGGCTACCAAGCCCCCGAAAAGAAAGGAACGCATCTTATCTTCAGTCGATCAGAACGAGAAAGAAAGCAAGGTCGCAAACAACCAGCGTATGCTAAGACAAAATCCGAAAATGAATGAAAGGAACGGGATAGCCGACCCAGCAGCAGCCCAAAGCGAATGACGGCTAGAATGCCGAAAGGAAAGAGGGAAAATGAAGCGAAGGAATGGACAAGTGATCAATTGAATGAACAGCCATTATGGCGAGGACATCATTCATATACACGACCATCCGTCCTCAAGCACGGACTGGCCCTGCCACGGAAAACGACCGAGAAATGAAGGACGGCACCCGGTGGATTGGAAGAATAAACCCTGTGGGCTCGTCAACGGCTAGACTCGATCCAATCCGACAAGAACATGACTGCTTCTCCGATGCGACGAATGTCGCATGCGCCGGCAGGAAATAAGCAACCCAAGAAGCGCCGGCAAACGCAACTTGCACCGAGTGGGACGCGCTAAGGAGAGCTAGATAAGTCTGGTTTCATATTTCAACGTCGGTCGTTTGAGCCGTTAACCCTCGATACCGACATTGCCCACATTTCCCTCTAATCGAAACAGTTCCCCTCCAGGACGTTGATTATCAAGTGGATGGATCGGTAAAGTGTGGTGGTTGATTGGTCGACCGAGTCAGGATGCTAATATGAGCGTGTCGGAGCTACACAACCCGCGACGATATTACCTCGATATTAGGAGATGGAAAGGAGTGTCGATGGAAAATGTCGGTAGTCGGAAAATATAGAATTACTATTGAGGTCAGTCAAAATAGTATGGATCCTGGAGAGTGCTTATCCTGTTAACACTAGGCTTGGCCAACAGCCCTATGGACAGGCTGGCAGTCCTCTCTCGCCTCTCAAAGTCTTCCGCGATCTGATGGGAGGTGGGTCGGTCGCTGCCAAGGTTACAAGCACTAGGCGACCACTGCAAGTCGTTGACCGGCAAGGTGAAAAAGATGAAAATTGGGTCATTCAATTAATCTATAAGAGGCCAGAGAAGCCAACCTAAACTGTACATTTTCCCGAGTCTTTCTCGCTGGGGTGTGGAATAACGCCACGGATGATTCATCAATTGAATACAATCCCCCCATCCTAGACCAGTCGGGTGCCCAAAGAACTGAACGGAAGATGAACAACAAAATCATGACGATAGGACAATTTGTTCAAGAGGGTATGAGAAGAGCAAATTACAAGAGGACGAGACCAGCGCCGAAGACGGTGGACAGGAGAGTAATCGCACCGACGACAACGGGAGCCATGGTCAGGCTAGGGACAGTCAGGCCAGCTGCAGCGCCCTTGGAAGAGGTAGAGGTGCCGCTGCTGCTGCTGCTGCTTCCAGTGGCGGAGCCAGATCCGGGCTCAGCAGTGGCAGTAGACTCGGTACCACGGTCCTGGCTGCCAGAGCCGGAGAAACCAGGGCCCTTGCCAGCACCCTCAGTCATATACTTCTTGGCAGGCTCGGGGATGGCAGGCAGAGCATCGCTGTCAACGTCCCAGTTGGGAGAGTCCTTGGCGGGGCAAGGATTGGCACCACCAGTCTTGTTGTAGTTGCCGTCGCCGGAGGGGTTGGAAGTCTTCTGGAACGCAGTCTTGAGAGCGTCGAAATCGGCGAGCTCCTTGACGTTGTTGCCGCTAATCTCCACCAGACCGTAGTTGCTGGCCTCCTGAGAGTACTCGTACACGAGACCACCAGAGTAGACACCAGTCATGTCCGTGGAGTAGAGGGAGCTGACTTCTTGGAATTGACGCTTGTTGGTGTTGCAGCCGTATTCGGACAGGAAGAGAGGAAGACCGTAGCCAGTGAAGTTCTTGACCTTCTGATCCCAGCCCGAGGTTGTGAAAGACGAGGGATCGCACCAAGAGTAGTCGTTGAAAGCGAAGAAGTCACTGCGCTCGTCATCGGAACCGCAGTTCATATACTGCGCCATCTGAAGACGGTTGGTGTCGATATCGGCCTAGAATTGGACCAGTCAACAAGAGGTCACGAGTCACCAGTATGTAGCATCGGGACTT